ATACTTTCTTCCACCATTACCCACTTCTCTAGTACTATTTTGAGATATCTATTTGGCAAATTATTCATGTGTATGTCTATAATTCCTTATTTGCTCATGCAATCATACAGTTGCTATCTCACACAACTTTTAAGGAAATACTTAAGCAAATACCAACTGAAAGATGTTAAATTCATTGATTACTAATAGTTTAACTCACAAGAGTTTCTTGTGCTAATCTTGTAAGAATCAGACTAAGTGTTATCCCAATGCAAAACCAAAAGAAGAAACTAGAGAATCTTGTTGTTAGGATCTTACATATGCGCGGGGCTCGACCCATTCTCTTGTACCGTCCTTTTTCTTTTTCATATGTTTGTCCTCAAAGACCTCAGCATAAGTCACAAGTCTCCCTTTTTCCTTTTCCTGCAAAATAAAGTTGGATAAAGTTCATAATCAACACCTTGGAAGTTCTCCTAAAAGCTTTTTGTAAAGTTTACAGAAGCTATTATGTAAAGTTTAGAAATAAGAGGCACATTACTGTAGTTAACATCTAAAGCTATGCAAGTACAAAAGTTATTTTGTCTATGTTTCATTCACAGTAATCAAAAGTTAAGAGCTTAAATACACGATTCAGCAAATATAATAAGAAAGTTACCATTCTCCTTTGATGGGTCTCCATACTAACTGAACCCCCAGTGTGCAATGAGCCACCCATATTGGAGGCTCGGGCAGCCTTTCCGGCGTTGCTCCTCTTCTTAAATTCTGGAGAAGCCCATATCACCTTAAGTTTTTCCCATATGTCTTTTAGTATCAAATCGGGCATCTTGCCATCAAACCGAGCTTATAGAGGAGATTCTTAAGCCTATCAGCACCTTTTTTCTCGAAATTTATGACTTATTTGCTGATGATATTTGGGATGCCATGCACACCTTGTCTGCAAATAATTTAAAACATTAGATGAAATAAGGATAATTTGATAAATAATATAAAATTTATTGATTTTGTACCCTAAATTGATTCCACATCTGATCTCTGTAAAAATACGGTATATCTGACCATTTACTCCAAGCATCTCGGTAAAATGCTTTAACACAATCCACAACCACTTTCGTAGATTCATTAGAGGGAACAAACCTGCATTAAAATTAACATATGTCTAAAATATATTCAACAATTCAAATGAATGATAAAGTAATTGCTTACCCAGTAGTACCATCAGGAATGATAAGCAGTCTGTGATGATCATCATATGATACAATCTCTTCAAAAGTCTGAGTCTATGTATCTTCAGCAGCAGGTGTAGATGTATCAATGGATGGGGATGACGGCATGGTAGAGCCTCCAACATGTGGCCTAGAAACACTAGGAGTGGATGATGATGGAGATGAAGATGGAGCCATGGATGCCGGACCACCATTCTGACTAACATGGTAGCATGAGGATGGAGTGAATGATCACAGAGGCATAGATAAGGAGCCACCATGTTGACTAGTACGATAAGCTATCGAAGAAGATGGTATAGTGTGCATGCTCTGGGAATTAGAGATAGGCTTATATTTAACTAGATCACAAGGGGGCAAAGTGAAGAAGCCGGGTGGCAGTGAAGTCTGTTGAGGAGAAGGAGGAGGAGGAGGAGGAGGAGGAGGACGACTCATAAATGGCACAGACGAGCTAGTAGGACTTGAAGTGTGCTGAGGAAGCTGGGAAGCATGTCTTATCTTCTTTTTTTTACCCGGCGCCATCTGTGTAACATAATTGATTCTTTCAACGGCAAAAATATATTTTGTACAACTCAATTACCCTTCATTTTCCATTTCACTTGGAGAAAATAAACAATATATGGTAAAATGCAAGCCAAAAGTACAGTCTACACCAATACGTTCAGCAAAGATATACACATCTAACAGAAGAGGACTTCGTGAATATGGAGTGTCTTGTTATTTAGCACAGATTAAACATCTTCCCAAGTTTCACAATTTCACATGCATGATTAATCATTTCTTTTTATATGTTTTATAACACATCAAACATTAATCGACAACCTTTAACTCTAAGTTGAAAGCACACAACACATAAAGACGATGAACAGTTCTTTTAGTAAAAGAAATTATAATTAGTAAACTGTTTTCGAATTGTGAGCTCTTTACTGTTAAAACAATCTAAACATAGATTATGAGCTACTGAACCATCAAAGCTCTGGAAATGTGTACAGTAT